GTTGTAATGAAAATGGCCGCTACGTTCGAAAAATTAATTCATCTAGATACCTGGTATGACGGTCACGAGTGCAACCAACCTTCCATTGGTTAACTTGCAAGTCGTGTCAACCTTTAGCAGAAAAAGTGAGCAAAACTTAAATGCTTAGACCACGACGATGATCTTTAATCATTGTTTATCGGTAGACTATACGAACTTATTATTGCAGTGCTTCAGATATTGAGTTTATCTCACTGAAATTACCTGCGTGGATTATTGCTGATGGAAATGGTGCTCGGATATGACTTTTACATAATTGATAACACTGAGCTTTTGAAGCATCATGATGTTTGGCTAAGGTACAAAAATTTAATAATTTTGGGCCGGGAATCTTGTGTACTGCTGCTATAATTAATGCCCTTTTATAAGTTAATAGCTATTTTATAAAAAAATAGTTAGAAGAAACTTTTTTTTTCAATGCAAGCTGGTGACAATCACGCTGAAATTTTATTCGGTGCAAGGGAATATAAATTGTGCAAGAAAACAGTGAAATTAAAATTCAGAATTAAATATACCGGCAGATGCTAACTACGGGCGAGGTTTCTGAACATAGCCAAGAAATCCCCATCAGCGTGGATATCATACTGTGGTGACTGTACACTAAGTCTTGATCTTGTTGGTTAAAGTGGTTAGTCTTGAATTTATCTTTGTCCGTAAAATGACATGGAATGTATGGATACTAAATACTAGAGGGAGATCTTACATCGCGTTACTCCATTCCATTCATCATCGGAGTTTCCGGTCCTAAATAGCCATGCCGAGTTGAAGGGGATTACTGCATTTACTCTCTCAGAGTGGTGCTCCGGACGTGTAGAAACGCCATGTCGATCATATACACTTTTATAATAAAATTCAGGTGGAGCATATGTCAGTTAGGTTGGAAAGTGTCCATGTTTCAGGTGGAACATAAGCCCGAAATCTGTAAACTGTAAACAACCAGAGCCTGTTTCTACGTCGGTATTGCAGAGCTTGCATTAATCGACGTTGGTGAAGATCCCTTGACATGTGCAATGGAAGGACATGGTCGTGGATGGCACGTCGTCAAAGTTGCCGCTGTAAATCACGTAGTATTCCATGCCGCTGTTCTGTTTGGGCGGAATAGTGATGCCGTAGATCGTCTGGTCCAGCACGCTGCCGTCCGACCAACGGTAGACGCCGTCGCTGTCTTGCTGAAGGCCTACGAATGTCATCCCTGGATACGGAAAGAGCCTCAAAAAGAATGAATAATTTAACAGGTTATGAGTGACATCAAGCATTAGGTAAAAAATATAAGTCAGTACTCACTGCAGTGAGTGACAGAGAGCGCATTTTCTCGTCGACGAAAACGTGTAGGCACGGACTGACGGATAGACAGTCGAAAATGACGAGCACAATTGGACATTTTTTCCATAAATGAGAAAATGCGCTAAAAATAACCTAAATGCAATTACTGGAAAGCAATAAACATTCAATATATTTCTTTTACTAGACAAGCCACAGTTAGGGAGGGTTCAATTAAGATTGAACTAAGAAAATCTGCTCACAGGTTTTCAGGAAGTCGAAAGTAGCTTTGGTTTTGACGACCGGGATCCTCATGCCGGGCTGAGAGCAGCGCGCCGCGCAGTCGGTATACCCCAAGGCAAGGCCTTCGTTGTAGAATTTGCCATCGATTTTCTGTACGAATTTTTCTGCAATAATGAACAACAATCTTTGAGAACTTGAAGAGAAATTATTGGATACCAACTCTATGACTTAGACGAAGCTAAATTTAGTGGATTGGAATCATTGACCGCCAAAAGAAAGCTCTAGAGAACAAAGTTCAGCTCATCGACTTATATGGTGGACAGAAAACTCCAAAAGATAAAAAGTAACAAAATTTTAGGTACCTTCTTATTTAGGATAGGAATATTGAAGGAATTTAAAGTTCATTCGTAGGCTTAGATATTCAAGAATCATAAAATGCTTCATAGTTTTTTCTCCGTTAAAATTGTTTCTCATGGAAATATTTTCTTAAAAGCTGTTGGAGCTGGAAAATAAGCGTGCGTATGATATAATCTTGCAAAACAAAAACAATAATCAACTAAAACCAATTTTAAAGTACAATGCCCCAATCAAATGTTTTAACGCGTACGGGAAGGTACCTAGATTTTTATTTTACCCTAGCCTTCTCAGTAAAAACTCTGAAGCCTGCTTGACAGCTAGTGATGTATATTTTAAGTATAAAATAAATATTAGCAGTCAAGCAACGAGTGAGCCAACGATTGCATAGAGCAGCATTGCGTCGCAAAAGGCTTTTTTTCGCCTTTAGATATTAACGCAATACTTTAATTTTCATGCACTAGTTCTAATACTACTAATGCTAGTGACTAATTACATATTCAGGTTTAAGAAAAATTGGTTTGAAATCTTTTGAAGATTCATTTACAGACAGAATCTTCACATCAGGTTACCCGAGTATTGGTAAGTAGCGCCGCTGGACTGCGTCGTCTTGCCGAGCTTGTCGCTGAGAGCGCACGCGCCGCTCGCGTTGTAGGAGTGCGCGATGCAGCGCCCGTCGACGAAGCATCGCCCGCGACACGCGCCTAGAAATTGTAGAACAATTTCTGAGACGTAATATGAATAGAAAATTGTTTAGACGAACATGTGGGAAAGAAAGTATTTCCAATCTCTCCTAGGAATTTAGTTCGTAACGGTGTGTAGAAGTTTGCCTTAACTTTTCCTGTGTACTTCTTTTTACTTTTTAGCGTATTTTCTCATTTATGGAAAAAATGCACTATTGTGCTCGCCATGTCCGTCTGTCTGTCCGTCCGTCCGTGACATCAAGTTTTCGTCGACGAGAAAATGCGCTCTCTGTCACTCACTGCAGTGAGTACTGAGTTAAATTTTTTTATTTGTACTTCAACCAGTACCAGCCACATCAGCACCTCTACTGAATCAGTGTAAGCAATGCAATCAGCCTATCATAGAACAATTATGTGAACAGATAATTTTATATTAATAGCACCACTTATATCCATCGGCTCATTAACAGCTCAACTAATTCTTTCATTCAACAAACATGCAACACGAGTAATAAGAACAAAAAGCTTTGCACACATTGAACAGAATATAATTTAGCTAATATTATCAAGGAAATTTGCCCATGATTAGATGAATTTACAGGCATATGAATGCAGGCTTTAACTTGCCTATACATGCAGACATCAAATAGGCCTGAATGTATAAATTCATTACGCAGGCCTGCTTGATCCAAGCTCTCGCGAAGTATGAACACATTTTCAAGTCCTCTCAACCAATCCTGGATTAATTTGAATGGTGAGACAATTTGTGGCATTTCTTAAATTATATATAATATGAATGGTGCATGAAAAACAGTGACTGCTCGTCCACTAAAGTAGATTAGTGATCTAAAGCAATCTGAACAATATCAATCATCCAGTTAATCACAATGTCGTGGTGCAAAGCTTTCCGTACTCCTAACCTGAATTTATATCAGTCAAAGGATTCAATCAATCAAGTGAATTCAATCGAGTCAATGAAGCTACATGATTATTTATGGACTACTAATGATAAACTATTATCTCACACTCAGATGGTGCTTGGGCGAGGTAGTAAGAATCGTCCTCGGAGATCTGCACATTTTTGACCACCACGGACGTCTTGCCCGCGTAGGTTTGTATCAAGTAGGCCTCTGGCAGCGCGGCGTTCACTGCCCCCAGCGTCAGCAGCGCTGCCGTCAACGCCGCAAGTGCTACGCGCTTCATTCGCACCTTGATTTTAGAACTCTGTTCTTGAGAAAAATTTTCTTCAATATTTAACAGGTATTTGAGTAACGAAAGGAACTATTGACTATTAGAATCATTTGTTTTAAAAGCAAAGACAATACCACAAAAATTCACCATTTCTTTATAAGAGAAAACGCTGGCAGAGCATAAGGAAAGGAGTTATAGAACGGAGGAACCTACTTGCAGATCCTCCTCATTCTGCTGTACGTGTTCATGCCGAGCAGTGCAACACCTCTGTATCTGATAGCGATTTGAAAGTTTTAGCTTCCACAACCGGTGTTACTGATCTACGAATTTTAGAATCCCTGTATATATTCAAACAGAAGCCTAGATTGAATGCTACTTTTAGCTCCTTTCTCCTTGAAATAGTAAATATAGTTAGGCCTGTTTACTAGTGTTAATTTCATGCCGTTATTTGTTGTTTCCGTTCTAATACCTGACAGTGAATGTTACTTTACTAATTGATTGCATTTGTGTTTCTGGGACTTGTGTTTGTGAACTAATAATTGAGCTGGACTCCGAAACATTTTCTCTTATAATAAAAATGGTAAACTTTTGTGGTATTGTTTTTTCTTTTAAATTTCAGGAACAATAGAGCGACAGCAATAATAAGGTTGGAAGAAATTCAATTTGATCAAATGATTACGCTATGACAATGATGTTAGTGGATGAAAATTTCTTCGCGTAAGTAAATATCCAATTGGAGGGGTTGTATATTTCTTAAAATATTCGGTATTTACACAAAGAATTTTTTATTCTTTCTGTTCGGTATTTACACGTATGAATTATTTGAAAAAATGAAGGAAAGCGTTAAATGCATAGAAAATGTAAAAAGAGAGACTTTTTAAAATCCTTATTTAATATACGTGGTAGAACATCGAAATACTTTTCATTCGATTCATAATATAAATATCTATCGTATCTAGGAGCCCGTTTTCCCGTTGTTTTCGACAGTACTCTTCCATTTATCTTCCCCTCCCCTCATTTTTTCAATATATAATTTAAATAATGAATAAATCAGGGAAAAGAGCTTATAGAGTCTCTAGATGTATTCTTTACAAATTGAGTGATAAGACTTTCAATGTTGTAGCTTGAAAACCTTGGTAGATCGAGTATTTTGAAAAATTTAAGAGAATACGCCATTTTAAGATGGCGTATTTTGGAAAATTCAATTTCTCATAAGCGCTATGTAAGTAAAATTGGTTGAAAGAAGAAGTAAATGCTAAAAAATTGCTTGATACTTCATCCCCAGCCATCACACCACACTTTAATTGTATTGAGGGTACCATCATGCTTACAGTTGTACAGTTTAACGCTGCTAATAATACTTTCCTAAAATATTTCCCAAAAAATAAATCCTAATAATTGGCGATTAAAAACCTTTCCTCAAGTATTTTTTTGTAAAAATTGTCCTAAAATGGTTATTTTATGACAATTTTAGAACTGCCTAATTATTAAAAACTGCCAAATTATGACAAATTAGAAGCTGCCTCACACGAAAACTTATGCCCGAATATATATACAGAATGTTGCGTTAATTAAGCAGGTAAAAAATGAGCCCCCCCCCAAAAAAAGCAGAAATGCCAAATTCTTCAGTTTTGGACTTAGACGGCTTCCTTTAGGAAAACCATCAGTAACGAGTCGTGAACACGTTATGGATATTATGCACTATATGTACAATGCCTTGGGACTTTGAGTAGACAAAACAAATAAAAATAATTGGGTAAAAGTTTCAACTGGAATTGTTATCATAAAAACAAAGTTGCTGATACTAAACGGCACCCGAGACTGTTTTCCATTCGAGTTCTGGCGAGTCAATGGCAAAGAGTAGTACCAGTTCACCCATGGGCGCTTTGATAATATCTATAATTCGTCGATCATTTGTGATTTGAGGCACGAGCTTAGCAAATAATAAGAAAAAGAACCTCCATGAGACAGAAGATATATACCAGCATTAGCTTGATGCGGCTATTATTATCTTTGAAAGATTACTTACTAAAATATTCAGGTCTCACGAAGCAGTCCAGGTATTGAGCGTTGGTGATCTTCTGCCAGCAATGCACGTAAATCGTATCACAAAGCATTCGAATATTTGTGTCTTATTCATTACCATGATTATAATGGGACAAGATTACTAAGGATAGTTCGCCTAGATCATAAATAATAATTTGGAGCCCAAATGTAATAACCATAATTCAATGTAATTATCTTCATCACTATCGGTACATAAAATTACTTCTCCTTCTCTTGCACTATTCTCGAGGCTTGAAAAACTATGTTAATAGTCCTACTCATTTATTCCGGAACGCTATCCGCTTGTTTTATTTACAGGCGATTATCATTTTACATTGATCGCCGTCACTGAACGTATATTCTAGACTGATTTACTGTAGAGACAGTGCACGACTCGCTTGAATTATCTAGATGAGTTCGGTGAAGTCTTTTCGTTGCTGCGCATTATCAGGATGGACAGCTGGTGCACGTGCCTCCGTTCATCGCCTGGTTCAGCGGGGCCCTGACGTTCGATCAACTGCAGAAGCTCTCAGGCCCCACGGTCATCCTTGCGGTTGCCCTGTGGCTTTAAGTCCACCCAGCGTGGACACCCGGAAAAGAAGAAGAAGAAGTTCTATCAAGAATACGGCAAGCCAAAGAATAAATGCATTCACTGCGCTAGGAAAAACAGGAACTAATTGAACTATATAAACAGTATCAGAATGCAAAACTTCAATGTTACAAATGAAAATAAGAGATCTGATCACTAGCTAACAAATAAAAAATTGTCAATTTTGATAACTATTGAAAAAAAGACTTTTTATGAAGGAGATGAATAAGTTGATTAATCATTTCTTGGGCTGAAATGAAATAGATGATTTCAAATCAATGTTTAGTCTTGTCTTGAATCTCAAGTCAGAGTCAATTAAGTAGTGGCAGGCAATGCTTAATTGTACAATTATGTCGGAGCTTCGGCATTTTTATTACGAGCAAAATAATCGATAAATCCGTAACTCAGACAGCAATATTTCTCAAAATTTATTACCTCAGAAGGTAAGGTAGTCGAAGGCTGATTCAGTTGCTATGCCTGGACGATCCTCGTGTCTGGGCGAGAGCTGCGTGCCAAACATTCAATTGACCACCGGAAGATGGATTCGGAGCCGCATCGAACATCAGTCAACTTTCTGATGAATATATAATCACTTAGCGATATAGGAAGGCGTCGCATGTTCTGTGATGTGTTAACATATTGAGGTAGCGTAGCTACAGAAGACACAAAATAGTCGAACAAGGAATTCTATTTATGATCGCTTTAATGAATGTTTAAAAAATGTCAAAACTACCTTATGGAAGTGAATTGGCTTTTTATCTGAGGAATAAACGTAACATAATTGCTGAGTGGTACTATCACCAAATATGTGTTTATTCACACTCGCTAAGCCCCACAATTAATAATTATTTTAACCTCGTTGACCCTTCAAATAATTGAAATATACCAACGGCGTCACTGCAACTGAAAACATGAATTTATTCAATATTGTTCGAAATATTATACAAAATATCATTGCAAAAAGATTCCAAAAAACGAGAAAAAACTTCGTAAAATCTTATTCAACGCTTTGAGAATTCACGATAAATTATGCAACTCAATCGTAGATATCTTCAAATAAATCTCCAGATTTGCTAATGCTTCTCCAAAGCAATTTTATCGGGGAGTTGGCCTAGGTTCCAATCACAAGAGGCAACATACGCGAAAACATACATTGTGCTTACAGTAAAAATGCGTAAATTCATCAATTAACCAGTGGTTGGGAATGAAATACTTTGCTTCTAGCTAATTCACAGCCCCGTGAGACAATAAGAAAAATATTTTCAGGTAAATTTATATTTTTCCCTTTCATTCCTCCTGGGTTCAAATTTATTCATTTGTCTGAATATCATTCAGTGCATTTATCTTAACATTTGGTCAAAAAAATACCATAATATAAAAACATTGTTGTTAGCTATTCGATATGCAGGAATGAAACTAGAATATAAGTAGAATATTGGTAGCATTTTACGTAGATTTATAAGGGCAGTTTTCTTCGAATAATCAAGCTCATGTATATTTATTATGGGTAGAGTACATAGTGATGCTTTCAACATTGCATTTTTAATAATCAAATAAACATTAAGACATTAATGAACAATCAATAAAGCTTTCTTACTAATATTTAAAGTCGGTATTCTTGCAATATATCAGCTTAAATGAAATGAAGAACCTTTGAAACGGTGGTAATGCAAGGCACTGAACAAGATGCACTGCAATGGGAGCTGCAGTCGCTTGAATATTCTGTTGAACATCAGGACGAAAAATGCACTCTAACAACCCAACTGTGAAACACAGGATGAAAATGCAACTGATTGTATGCAATTTTTCAGAATTGGATTACAAAGGACGGAGAGTGATGCTACAAAACATTCATCCTGTTGAATACCTGATTCTCAAATGCACTTCTCTTGTACATTTCGTTCGCCTGATGCATGTGCGTCAGTGACACTTTACTTTAGCTCGGTTTTAAAAGCATCTATAGTTTCAGTTGCGGTGTTGGCTTTAGACTGGACAGAAGGAAATGTTTGGTAAGCGTGTTTTAATTCCGAAGATCTTTGTAGCTAGCATTCTTGATTTTAATCGTGTTATTATTCGAAATAAATTATTTTATTTCTCGATTGTACCTAATGTGCAATACTAATTTTACGTAACCATTTTTACCTTTGTACATATATTGTTTGTTTGCAGAAACCGATTTTCCAAAGAAAAGGAAAACGAAAAATCGTGTATGCAATCCTTTGACGTACGAATATACGTAACGCATCCTTCATGAGAAGTTGGAGAAACGTTGTGCGTTATGTGACCGGTTGGATCAGGAATAAAAATGGCTGATGGCTCAACGATTGCTTACCAGTGAGTTATGACTCATAATGCGTCTAATTAAGGAATATCATTGATAGCCTTCTCATTGA